CCCCGCCGGCGCCCAGCAACCGCGGGGCCGCCCGCCGGACTGCGGCTGCCGGACTACAGCTCCCGGCCTGCCCCGCTCCTCCCGGCGTGCCCGGCCGCCTCCCGGACTACAGCCCCCAGCACGCACCGCTCCGAGGGACGGGCGCGACGGAGATACCCGGCGACGCTGCGGGGGCAGGAGTTCGCGGGTTCGAGCCCCGTCAGGGGGCAGGCCCAGCGCTGGGTAACTCCGCCTCTGTAAAGACTCAGAAACCAGGCTGGTTTATTCGTTAAAAGACTTTATTTGTTAGTACAAAAAAAAAAAAACCACACACAAACAAAACAAAGCAAGAACAATACTCATGAAAACGCACAACGTCTTGTTCCAGAGCCAAAGCTGAGCTATTCACTGGGTAAGTTACAGTCTGGGGCTGTTTGAGCGAGATGACACCCAGTGCGTGACACCACCAGTTCCCCCCACCCCCTGCGACCAGGACACACGCGTGTGCCAGGCACCGATTTAACTCAGCTTAACACGCAGCCTGTATTTCCTAACGTGGAGTCAGTGACCTGGCACTAGGGGCTTTGTTCCTTCTCAGCAGCAGGCGAGAAGAGCAGCGCTGCACCCCTCGGAACCAGGCTGGGGATGCACTGCTGTGCAGTCCAGCATTCTCCATCCTGAGCAATCACCTTGTTACGGGTCAGACAGCCCTCCAGCAAAAAAAGTCTTGTTTAAAGATACTTTTGTTAGGGAGAAGATTCACGGAATCGTTGGGAGTTAGGAAGGAACTCTAGAGACCATCCAGTCCAACTCCCCTGCCAAAGCAGGGTTGCCCAGAGCATCCAGGGGGGCTTGAAGATCTCCAGAGAAGGGGACTCCACACCCTCCCTGGGCAGCCTCTTCCAGGGCTCTGCCACCCTCATCCAAAAGAAGTTTTTCCTCACATTTGAGTGGAACTTCCCATGTTCCAGCTTGTGCCCATTGCCCCTCGTCCTGTCACTGGGAACCACTGAAAAGAGTCCGGCTCCATCCTCCTTCAACCCACCTTTAGGTACTTGTAAACGTAGATGAGGTCTCCCCTCAGCCTTCTCTTCTCCAGGCTAAAGAGCCCCAGCTCCCTCAGCCTTTCCTCATCAGGGAGATGCTCCAACCCCTCCATCATCTTTGTTGCCCTACGCTGGACTCTCTCCAGCAGTTCCCTGTCTCTCTGGAACTGGGGAGCCCAGACCTGGACGCAGGATTCCAGTTGTGGCCTCCCCAGTGCAGAGCAGAGGGGGAGAATAACCTCCTTTGAGTGAGAAAGCGTAAAGGCATAGAAGTTACAAGCACCAGCAGAACCAGGTCCTTCAAATGATCTCCCTTGGGCCCTGTTGCTCTCACATCCTATTTGGCCTCTTTCCAAGGAAGCTCGTGGCACAGCGTTTCTTGCCCCAAATCCCCCTGCACACCCGGAGTTTTCTGGCAGTAGAGCATGCTGCACAGCCACAGAGTTCCTGTGCTACCACCTCCAGGGTTGGTCTCAAACTCCACACCTGACCCTGCCTCCTCTCAGCCCCATGCCTGGCCAGCTCGGGCTGCAGGGGAGCTGCTGCTGCAGGAGGGAGAGGGCAGAGTCCCCAAAAGCCACATATCCCCCAAACTTTCCCATCTTACCAGCAACACTCCTGGAAAAGCCATCAACAACTGCAAACCAAGGAGCAGTTTCTGGCCATTACACTGCGGAGCTGCAGCAGGAACCCACAAGACACTGGCCCATCTACTTTTGGGACCTTGCAACGCAAAGAAATCCTTTGATCTCTCAGTTCAGGATGAGGAATGGCATCCCCAGCACCAAGCTGCTCTTATTTTTTCATGCTCTTGTTTAAACCCACCATCCAGCTTCGCCAAGGCACACACCTCTCAGTCCCACCAGCACCTCTCCATAAGCCCTACCCCGACCTGAACCTGCTCCCATTTACAACCGACACCCTAAAACACACCTAGATGTTTCGTATTCACTTACCTCCAAGAATGGAATGACTGGTTTTGAGCCTTCCTCACATGGGGCAAAAAAAAAAAAGATGGTGCTACCTCTTCCCAGAGCTGTGGGACCAGTAACTCTGGGGACACTCTCTTGATCCCTCCTGCACAGCCATCAGGACACACCATCACAGCCCTCTATTTCCAGGGTGGTTTCCTCAAGAGACTGCACTGTTTCGTTTAACTTCTTGGCCTTTCTCAATGAAAGCTGAGACAGACAGATGCCTCAAAAGAAAAATTCCTAATAGACTTTTTAAAGAAATAAGAAATGTCTAGGCAGAAGACAGACCACAGCATTCCCACTGAAGAGGCTATGGTGCAAAGTTTAATTATATATTCTTATACACCAGAGAATCAACAGGGAAGAAAGATACCGTGACACAGCTGCATGGAAACTTTTGATCAGTCTATGCCTCATTATACACACAAACACAAATCGGGCTCCAAATTCAGCTTCTCACAGAGCAATTCACACCAAACCATTGAGAACTCAGGGATGAGCCAGATCCCTCAGCAGGTAACGGTGGGGATTCCCCATGTCCTGCCCCTGCTCAGGCACAAGGGGAGGGCTGGGGTAGGAGAGGGGAAAAAGGGCTGTGTTAGTCAGAGTTACTTTATCATTTTCCCCCCAAATGCTGAACATATTGTGCCATCTCTGTCTGTTAAAAAGTTAATTTATTATCCCCTCCTGGTAAAAAAAAAGTGAAAAGCTTTAACTCTGTTAGACCAGTAAGATACAGAAACTCTTTTGAAGTTTTTAAGATACAACTTCGAAGCACATTATTCCACACAGGAACAGAAAGTACCTTTCTTAAGAAAGGAAACTCTATAATGGGTGAGTCTTTTTCTTTTAAGCAGGAGAAGATGTGTCAGTTACAGGACTCCCTTTCTGTCCAGATGACTCCTGTGAAATACCCTAACGTCCTCTGGGCAGCACATAGAGAAAGTTTCCTAAGGAGAAATATATCTTCAAAAAGTGACTTCAGGAAACAAGTGCAAGTTCCTTTTAAATCTGTTTTATAAGAATGATACCAATGTACATTTTAATAGTTTTATTTTCATTTTCCCCAAGGGGGAACCAAAGGCAGAGAGGTGGTGTGAGATACATCGTGCTGTTCTTATGGGTAAATTGATTTGCAAATGTTATTTTACCACTCTATAAAAATACACACAGGAGTGTGAAGGAAGCAAAGTAGTTCAGAGTGGCTGTCATGGAACAAATATGTTAAATACAATCAGGTTTTTTCCCCTAAAAATTGTGGCTCCTTGTGTTCCATAAACCCGAAGTCCCTAGCAGCCACATGCCACAGGAACAGAAACTGAAGTGGTAGCTTCCTTCGAGCGTGTGCACACAAAAGCATTAGTAAGGAACTGCTCCCATGGGACCAGACGGCAGATGGGAGCGACAAAGCCCCATCCACAACAGGAAAGAGGATATGCATTCCGTTTTATTGTCTCAGCTTCCCATCCAAACTCCTGGAAAGAGGTTCCATACCATTCAGGCATCTCTGATAAAAGAGTCTATAGTTCTATAAAAAGAAGTCACGCTGTAAGATCAAGATATTTACCCTGTATGTGTTACGTGAGCACAAAGAACAACCTTCCAATTTCTCAAGATACATCCATGCAACCTGCAAGTGACCCAATTCCTTTCTCTGTCCAACTGTGCTGTGGGAAACTCAGTTAAGCGCCTCTTCACAGGTAGAGACAGTTTGCTTTTAAAAATATTAAGGACACATCTTTTTTTTTTTATCTTTAAGAACTTCCTGGAAAGTTACTGTGAAAAATGAAAGTGCTCCCATGGTGAGACCAATGTGCAAAGCTCTACAGACTTCTGTCCTTGCTGCTTTCTTAGTATTCCTTCCCTTTGCAAATTCATGTTAAGATGAGGCTCAATACATCGCAACAAGGCCATCACCCACCTGTAACAAGCAGGTAGACACTGGGAAATGTTTTATGTTTAATCATAAAACGTGGAATAAGCCAAAAAAATATTGTTCGGATATGATTGGGATGGTCTCTCGAGTGGGTTTATATACCAATGGCCTGTAACACTCGCTTCTC